AGGTTAAACTTGATTGCTAAGGGTTTGCCACCTAGTGTGATAGCGACAATTCAGAGTGCTAGGGCCTCATCTACTAGAGGCTTGTACGCTTACAAATGGACCACCACACTCTGTCATTTCAGTGCTCTATTGTGGCTGTTTTGACATTCCTGCAGGAGCTGCTGGATAAGGGCCTTTCATTTTCGACAATTAAGGTTTATTTAGCAGCTATATCTGCTTGTCATATTGGCTTTGACGGGGTAACACTAGGTGCACATCCCCTCGCCATACGTTTTCTGAAAGGAGTTCGCCGGCTGAGGCCCGTGCTTAAGTCCAATGTCCCTGCTTGGGACTTGTCTTTGGTGCTGGAGGCCCTTTGTAGCCCCCCGTTTGAACCCACTGAGTCTGTGGATATGAAATTTCTTTCATATAAGACTGCATTACTTCTCGCTTTGCCTTTGGCAAAGCAAGTGGGTTACCTTCATGCGCTGTCTGTGCATCCCTCCTGCACACAGTTCTCTCCTGATGGCCAAAAGGTCATATCTTATAGCTCAATGGAGTTTGAGTGGCTGAGCTTTTGCTCCCCTCCTTTTGCATCTGAGAAGCAGAGCATGCATTTTCTTTGTCCAGTGCATGTGCTACGCACCTACATTGAGCGCACTCAGAATGTGCGTTTAAGTGACCAGCTGTTTGTCTGCTTCGCTAATCCAAATAGAGCTAGAGCTCTGTCCAAACAGAGGCTCTCCCACTGGATTATAGAAGCTATCTCACTGGCATACGGCACCAGAGGTCTCGCTTTGCCCCACGGGGTGAGAGCTCATTCCACCAGGGGGATGGCAACCTCATTTGTGCGGCAGCTAGTTGGGCATCACCGCACACTTTTGTGCGGTTTTATCGGTTGGACGTTACAGCCCCTTCGGTGGCTCATGCTGTCCTTTCTGCTGGGTCTACCACTCACTAAGGATGTGATGGTCCGATTCCGGTTCAGTGGCTGCTCTGTGGGGCGTGTATACTTATATATACTATACGTGTATACCATACTTATGTGTTGTACCGAGTGAATCGACTGAAAGAGAACGAATAGTTATGTCTATAGCTTCTGTTCTCTGAAGGAGAGGAACGAGTCATAATCCTTTGTCTCACCCCAACCAATCGCAGCAGATGGCCGCCCCTCCCTGAGCCTGGTTCTGCCGGAGGTTTCTTCCTGTTAAAAGGGAGTTTTTCCTTCCCACTGTCGCCAAAGTGCTTGCTCATAGAGGGTCATATTAGAGCTGGGCGATAGAACGATAACGATATGCATTGCATGATAACTTTTCCTCGATAGAAAAGTTAAACTATTGCGATAGGCCTCGTCTCTCTTGTCCTCTTTAAAAAAAAAAAAAAAACAACAGCCAATCCAAATTAAGTAGCGCAGAGCCGAACCAATCACAGCCGCAGCGTCACGTCACGTGACTTGTTACGTGCCGCACATGTGTATTTGTTTGGGAAGCAGCCAGCCGCTGTGCCGCCCGGTAATGGAGGAAATGAGTGTGCCGACTAGAGAAAAATCAACCGAGCGTGACCGAAGGTTACCGAAGAGAAAACAGATGATGGTTCCAATGCCGGAGAGATTGTCGAACGGAAGAGCCACAGAAGTTCCGTAGTGTGAAGGTATTTCGGCTATTTCAAGTCTGACAAAAACAGAGTAGCGCGCACTGTAAATGTGCCGAAAGCAAGTCTGGAAATACAATAAAGCGGTGCATGCTCAATCTCTGACTGGAAGCGCTAATTCGTCATTCGGCTTTTGTCAGACTAAAGTAACTGTTTGAAAAGCTAAGCTATACAACAAGGAGAGATTGAGAATTTCCTTTTAGTTCTCAGTTTATTTGATATTGACAAAAGTTAGTCAGTTTTGTCTGTTCTTCTGTAAAACAAACTAAGATTTATTTTTAGAATTAATATTTTGTTTCTAAGTGGAATTGACAATTTAGTCTGTTTTGTTTGTTCTATTTTGAAACTTAAACGCTTTAGCGGCTGCCTTTTGTGTAGTTTGCAATATTTGCCTTTATTTATCTGAAAAAGTCTCATGTTCCTTAAGTACATCTACCCTGTTGAACTTATTATGGGAAATAAATATTTAAATAAAAACAAGCTGCTGATTATTTCACATTTTACTTGTGAGCAACGGCACATTAAATCTTACAAATATAGTTATTTGGCTTATATCGTGATAGATATCGTTATCGCCTGAAATGAAAAAAACATCGTGATATGAAAAAAATCTTATATTGCCCAGCTCTAGGTCATATGATTGCTGGGTTTTTCTCTGTATCTATGAAGCGCCTTGAGGCGACTTTTGTTGTGATTTGGTGCTATATAAATAAAATTGAATTGAATTGAATTGAACTATTCGTTCCACACCACTGAAGTTGCACCATTTTAACAAACCAATTCTGGTTCATCTGTTTCATTCAACGATCCGTTTTCGCCCTTCTCATTCTCCTTCGCCGCCATGCTTTTTCTGCCATGTCGGCATGAAGACAAAGGCACTGCGCATGCGCGTTTTACCCATATTCTATCGCAATATTTCATTTTCTTATCGTTGCCCAACATTATACCGGTATTACCGTGAACGGTATGATATGGCCCAGCCCTATAGGGAGCTACAGTTAATTGAGGCAACCATGAATGCCAACATGTACTGTGTCACACTGAAGCAGAGCATGATCCCCTCACTTCAGACACTGGGCCACAGGACAATATTCCAACATGATAACAGCCCCAAACACCTCGAAAAAGAGCAGTCCCTTGCTAAATAAACTGAGGGTAAAGGTACTGACTGGCCAAGCATAACTCCAGACTTAAACCTTATGGAGCATCTCTGGGGCATCCTCAAATGGAAGGTGGAGGAGCGCAAGGTCTCTAGCATCCACAAACTCCGCGACATCATCATGGAGGAGTGGAAGAGGATTACTTAAATTAAAACATGCTGTTCGTAATCTTTGTAAATCACCGGTTAATTGCATATTAATTTTGTACTTTTCCCCCCTTTTAATCTAAACGAAAGGGATCAGTTTTTATGCAGTGGTTTTACTGGGCTGTAAATTTCTCATCAAACCCCTGCTCTTAAACAAATTGTCACATCCAGCTTCGATACATCCATACAATATTGATTGTAAAAAAGGTTAGCACGTTGTTAAGTGATCTGAGCCGAAAAAGCCGGTTCTCTAAAAAGAGCCGGAAATCCCATCACTAATTGATGGGTTTGAGAGTATAGATTGTATGCAAAGAAGGTAAATCTAGCCATACAAATCTCTTTTTTTTCTTTTTTAAAATTATAGCCATCACTGTTAACAAAACGTATGATGCCTTTTGTATGGCCTCCTTTAACACTTAAACCCCCACGAGCCATCATTTTAGGGATTCCTACCTATAAAACCCGGAGAGCAGTCAATTCAATTCGGAGAGCAGTCAAGTCCCATCAATTAGTGATGGGATTTCCGGCTCTTTTTAGAGAACCGGCTTTTTCGGCTCAGATCACTTAAAAGAGCCGGCTCTTCAGGTTGTTTTGTTGCTTTAATTAATATATTATTAACAACAATATAAAATTATGCACAAAAGGAATTACTAATGTAAAAAAAAACAAAAAAACAAAAAACCACGTGGTTTTATTTATATATGTTTATATATAAATATATATATGGTGGCCCCTAGAGACAAAGCACGTACAAATTCCAAAACACATTTCTAGCGTTAACTGAACTTCCAAAACAGAGCTACTAGATCACTTAAATTACACAATTGAAAGCATATGTGTATTGTTTGTGTATTTATACACAAGCACTCATATATATTCAAATAATTAAAAAAAAAAAAAGTTCATATACCTGTCACTACCACACACCAAATCCAGTCGTTGGTACTTCTTGGCTTGTGTAGCCACTAGGTAACAAAAAGCATAAAGGGCGTGAACACAAAGCGCGGCAGATCAGAATCACCAAGCTGTCGGCTTTCAGCCCCAACCGTGAGAAAGGCGACATCTAACTGATTCTGATCCGCGGGTCGCGCTGTGTGTTTAAGTCTTTGTGCAGAATCCGTGTTCCTGCTCTCATTTACTGTCTTAGCTGTTTGGTGGTGGTTGAAATTTTGTGAGATTTTACCTGAGATTCTGGCATTTCAGGCAAAATAAATTTATATTAAAAAATCGATTCAGGATTTTAATGAATCGATTTTACGTTATCCAAGCCAGAATCGATAAGTCGATTATAAAAGCCCACCCCTAATCACTACCATCAATCCAAGAAGCCTGAGATGAACTGGAATACCAAATGTAACACAGACCTCATCATCCGGCAAAAAGGAAGGGAAAAAAGCTGCATCTACTGAAACATTTCTCTATTAACACAAAAAAATACCACAGATGATATAAAATATGTTTAATGACTACAAAGCAAACATGAGGTTAAAAACTTAAAAGTTCACAAAAGAACTCAGACTACCACAAATCAGTTAACTTCATTATTCCACATGTAGAAATATGAAAGGAAGAATCCATGAATGTAAAAATCATCTGTGTCTCTCAGTCTTCATTAGCACTATTTTTTCTGGCAGAAAAGTAACTTCATTATAATAAGTTAGATCTTGTGCTTTGGTGATTAAAACATGTCTCTCTTTCATTTCAGGTAAATATCAGACAACATAACTGCGTGTAGTCATGACATTACTCTTACATGGTATCTGGTTCAGGGGGCAGTGTTTCTTACATTAAAGAGGCCACAGTAACAAAGAGGAATCAGTGAATTTCTATTTACTAGCAACTGAGTGACGACACTTATTAGATCCACACTGACAGCTGAAGTACTTGCTTTTCACCCTCCAATAGTGATCACCATAATCGAACCTGTTGAGGAAAAGAGAACAACTGTGTTAACTTGTTCATCCTACAGCCTGGACAATTTCTGATTTTTAATACAGATACTGATATTTGGTCATTTAAAAATCAGATATTCCGATATATTGGCCAATTTTGTTTTCTTCGTTCAGAAACATAAAACAGATTTCCAACATTATTACTCAGACAGAAGCTTCATCTTTGCACCCTGCTGCATGAAGAACAGTTCAGTTTCCAAACAAATTCATCCAAAACTTTGAGTACACATTAGTCTCAGCAGTCACATGCAGTGGTTATTTTTGTCCCTGCATCTCATTAAAATATGTTGCTATTACTGAGTCAATGTGAAAGTCTCCCAAGGCTCCCAAGTCTCCCAAAGTCAATGTGAAAGTCTCCCAAGGCTCCCAAGTCTCCCAGGCACACGTTGTCATTTAATGATTTTTCTTTATTTTTATAACTATTTACGTTGTAGATTCTCACTGAAGGCATGGGATGGGATGGGATGGCCTGTTGCTGCAGGATGCTGTGGTAGCCATGCTGATTCAGTGTGCATTCAATTTCGAATAACCCAACTGTGCCACAAAGCACCCCCACACCATCACACCACCTCCTCCATGCTTCATGGTGGGAACCATGCATGTAGAGACCATCCATTCATCTTTTCTGTGTCACACAAAGACATGGCAGGTGGAACCATAGATCTCAAATTTGGACTCATCAGACCAAAGCACAGATATCCACTGGTCTAATGTCCATGTGTTTCTTGGCCAAAACAAATCTCTTCTGCTTGTTGCTTTTCCTTAATTGTGGTTTCTTAGCACCTATTTGACCATAAAGGCCTGATTCACACAGTCTCCTCTGAAAGGTTGATGTAGAGATGTGTCTGTTACTGGAACTCTGTATGGGATTTATCAGGGCTCTAATCTGAGGTGCTGTTAACTTGCGATTTCTGAGGCTGGTGACTCGGATGAAATTATCCTCAGCAGCAGAGGTGGCTCTTGGTCTTCCTTGTGAGCCAGTTTCATCGCAATGCCTGATGGTTTTGCGACTGCACTTGGGGACACATTTAAAGTTTTAGCAATTTTCTGGACTGGCTGACCTTCAGTTCTTAAAGCAATGATGGACAGTCATTTCTTTTTACATACAGGGAGTGCAGAATTATTAGGCAAGTTGTATTTTTGAGGAATAATGTTATTATTGAACAACAACCATGTTCTCAATGAACCCAAAAAACTCATTAATATCAAAGCTGAATGTTTTTGGAAGTAGTTTTTAGTTTTTAGTTTTAGCTATTTTAGGGGGATATCTGTGTGTGCAGGTGACTATTACTGTGCATAATTATTAGGCAACTTAACAAAAAACAAATATATACCCATTTCAATTATTTATTTTTACCAGTGAAACCAATATAACATCTCCACATTCACAAATATACATTTCTGACATTCAAAAACAAAACAAAAACAAATCAGCGACCAATATAGCCACCTTTCTTTGCAAGGACACTCAAAAGCCTGCCATCCATGGATTCTGTCAGTGTTTTGATCTGTTCACCATCAACATTGCGTGCAGCAGCAACCACAGCCTCCCAGACACTGTTCAGAGAGGTGTACTGTTTTCCCTCCTTGTAAATCTCACATTTGATGATGGACCACAGGTTCTCAATGGGGTTCAGATCAGGTGAACAAGGAGGCCATGTCATTAGTTTTTCTTCTTTTATACCCTTTCTTGCCAGCCACGCTGTGGAGTACTTGGACGCGTGTGATGGAGCATTGTCCTGCATGAAAATCATGTTTTTCTTGAAGGATGCAGACTTCTTCCTGTACCACTGCTTGAAGAAGGTGTCTTCCAGAAACTGGCAGTAGGACTGGGAGTTGAGCTTGACTCCATCCTCAACCCGAAAAGGCCCCACAAGCTCATCTTTGATGATACCAGCCCAAACCAGTACTCCACCTCCACCTTGCTGGCGTCTGAGTCGGACTGGAGCTCTCTGCCCTTTACCAATCCAGCCACGGGCCCATCCATCTGGCCCATCAAGACTCACTCTCATTTCATCAGTCCATAAAACCTTAGAAAAACCAGTCTTGAGATATTTCTTGGCCCAGTCTTGACGTTTCAGCTTGTGTGTCTTGTTCAGTGGTGGTCGTCTTTCAGCCTTTCTTACCTTGGCCATGTCTCTGAGTATTGCACACCTTGTGCTTTTGGGCACTCCAGTGATGTTGCAGCTCTGAAATATGGCCAAACTGGTGGCAAGTGGCATCTTGGCAGCTGCACGCTTGACTTTTCTCAGTTCATGGGCAGTTATTTTGCGCCTTGGTTTTTCCACACGCTTCTTGCGACCCTGTTGACTATTTTGAATGAAACGCTTGATTGTTCGATGATCACGCTTCAGAAGCTTTGCAATTTTGAGACTGCTGCATCCCTCTGCAAGATATCTCACTATTTTTGACTTTTCTGAGCCTGTCAAGTCCTTCTTTTGACCCATTTTGCCAAAGGAAAGGACGTTGCCTAATAATTATGCACACCTGATATAGGGTGTTGATGTCATTAGACCACACCCCTTCTCATTACAGAGATGCACATCACCTAATATGCTTAATTGGTAGTAGGCTTTCGAGCCTATACAGCTTGGAGTAGGACAACATGCATGAAGAGGATGATGTGGACAAAATACTCATTTGCCTAATAATTCTGCACTCCCTGTATGTCTTTGTGTGACGCATAAAAGTTGAAAGAACAAAAAACACATGATCAGCTTCTACAAAAGCAAACAGATGTTGCCATAGTATGAATTCTAACAGTTGTCAAATATGGCTATCAGCTGTGTACTAACCTGACTTCTGCACAACACAACTGATGGTGCCAACCTCATTAAGAAGGCAACAATTAAACCCTGACAAGGCACACCTGTGAAGTAAAAACCATTTCAGGTGACTACATCATGAAGCTCACTGAGAGAAGGCCAAGGGTGTACAGCGCCATCAACAAAGCAAAGCGTGGCTACTTTCAGGAATCTAAAATATAAAACACATTTAGAGTTATTTATCCATTTCTTCTCTTTGCTACATAATTTAATATATCTTGCTTCATCTATTTGATGTCTTCAGCATGCTTCTACAATATAGAAAATAGGAAATACAATGAAAAACCATTAAATGACAAGGTGTGTCCAAACTTTTGATTGGTAGTGTACTACTCTGAGGAGATCCCAAGGCAGACACTTGACACATTTACATACACGCTTATTTAATTACTATTTTATGCTGTTTGGATGGTTACCCAACAGGGAAGTTGCAAAGTGCCCTCTGCTGGATGAACTATGCAACCTCAGCACTCATAACTTGGTTAAAGTGCATTTCTCCCATCTTTTTGCTTTTTAATTGATCAGCCATTTAGCAAATAGCCATTATTGGGCCCACTGATTTTTCGTCACCACTCACCCTATCTGGTCTCCAGCTTTGATGGACCGACTGGAGAAGAAGGCTATCCGGGGGAAGCGTAAGTCCTGGTGCATGGTGAACACCCTCACAGCCAGTAGGTTGGGCTCACACAGGTGGTTGATGAAGCGACCAATGTTGCCAAAGAGTCTTGCATCAATACAATGGGCATCCCCAACCTGCACACATGTTAAAAAAACAAACCAAAAAGAAAAAAAGGAAAGCAAAATTTGTATCCTGCTAATGACTGCCTTTTGATAAGATAGATGTTAGAAAAAGGTGACACCCCCATGATGAAGTTGAAAGAGCAAAAAAACATATGATCAGCTTCTACAAAAGCAAACAGTTAATCTAGATTTTATCAACAGTTTTATCATTAAGTTGAACCTACAGTGAGAACATGTAAACTGCTGCTCACAGCAGCAATTCATTTCCAGAATAGTTGGACTGAATGAAGGTGCTGCAATAGTCCTGTCAAAGTCAAGTTTTCAACCTTATTGAAACGCTGTGGCAGGACACTAAGAGCTGTTCATCT